TTCCCTGCATTTTGAACTTTTTGAGTGTACTGAAATTGTGCTATTCATAAAATACACAGTGATTATTCTAAGTTCATGACTCAAACATTGAATTACCCAATATACAGGTCCAAATCCACCTTGTCCGATTTTGTTCTTCTCTGAAAAATTTTCGGTGGCTTGTTCTATTATTGGAAGGTCAAACAGTGGGAGATCTAGATCTTCTCTTTCATTGTTTTGAATCTCAACTTCTGCATTTTTTGATTTCTCTGAAAAAAAAAAATCATGGAATCTGCGTAAGGGCAAGGGATTTAGTTATGACCTTGTGCATAATTGTTCTAAAGGCCAAGGAAAAACACCGGTGACTACTGCAACATGGGGGGAAATCAAATTTACTTAAGAAGTATAGGGTGTGAGGTTAAATAAGCACAAACATTGCAGTGTGAATTTTTTCCGCTGGGTTCCCATCATCAACAATTAATTAACTGATTCTAGGACTGAATGAAATACAAAAGAGGATGATCATGAAGGAATTCTCATGTTCATGTTGCTAAGTAGTGTGGTATCATAATCCTAACCCATATTTACAAATACTCCTTCAATCTTAAATATAAGACTCATTTTGTAGTGTAAATTATACAACAAAATAGATCTTATATTTAGGATTGGAGAAGTACTAGATATGAACGTGGCCAATCTTGCCTTATGAAATCATAACAACTATCGCATTTCTAAGAAGAAATCTAAAAGAGTAGGACTTGGTTGAAATTTAAAAATAGGAGTAAGGAACTTTACCAATCCTCTTCCTGTAGACTTTACAAATGAGATAGCCCCCCACTAAAAGCATGCATAAAATCACAGCAACGGCGATGGCAACGATCATTATCAACTTTTTATTGTTCCCAGATTCTGCATAACGGTGATTGAATGATTCATGCGCAAAGAAACTGGGGTGAAAATTCAAGCATGAAAATATACCACATAAGCGGAAAATAGAAGTCCTCACCTAATTCTGAAGCAGGCATTCGAACATACAGATCCTGTCCTCCAGATGCATAAGATCTGATATCATTTAGATCACCAAACCATAAGGCACAACCACTACCTCCCCCTCTAATATCTGAATTAGTATAGGCCATGCAAGAACAATTTTCCAAGCACTTCTCTCTGCATTGCTCTAGGTTCATTGCCTTGTCAAGCCAAGCGTCTGTAGTTTCAGGCACTTTTAATCCTTCCAATTTTATAAATTTGTCTGTGCCATTTTCAGAGCAGTTCAGAGGTTTATTGCGGACACATCCATCAGACCAGTCCACTGAGTTCCATTTCTGAGGTGACTTGGGGGTGAACCCTTTTAGGCATTGGCATGGGGGTGATCCAGTGATAACACATTTCCCATTAGGTCCACACCACTTATATTGATCACAATTGTCACTAGGCTTTTTAGTATAACTCTTCCAATTTTCCTCACCTTTCGTCCACACATATCGAATTCGAGCCTCCTCAGTTTGGTTGATCACATACCTTGAGATAACAGAACTATTCTTGAGGCTGTGCCAATAATAGTATATCTCATCTCTAGTAGATACGAACCCAAAATCAAAAATAGGATTTTGTTTCAGTTCCGGGGAGCCACCAAATCCCACGCCATTCCAAGGTCCAGTTCTGAAGAACTTTGATTTTCCTCTCAGTATATATAATTCAGGATGATTACGAGGGTCGACAGTTATAGAAAAATCACCAGGAGATGGATCTTCTGGAGTCTTCCAAGATGTTAGACGTCTATTTAAACCTGTTCTTAGGTCGCATCCCAATTTCATCCCCGAGAGCAGTGTGTCAGTCGGATAGTCGAAGCTTTGCCACAAATAGGCTTCTGAGTTCTGGCCTCTCTCATGTCGTACCACAAGGTTTCCCGAATCTAGGAGCTCAGCCACTGAATTCTGTACTGGTTTCAGAGGAGTTGAGTACCAAATAACACTATCATTTTGGGTGAGGACAAGACTACCTGTGCTGTTGAGTGTTAAAGTAGCAGTGGTAGATGAACCATTGATCGGGTTATCTCTGTTTGCTACCCAAACAACTGTCTGAATTGGGATGCTTCTGTACCAAATCCCCAGATACTGTTTACCGGAGTTTCCAGGAGTGAAGAAGCCAAGTTCGAAGCTTCCACCTTTAGAAAATATTCTCATGCGATCACTCATTGGGGAATTAGACTGAAGGATGGAACCAACTGCCATAGAAGCTTGGAAAGAAGGGACAAGTATGGAAACAACGGTAGTGATGAAAGAAACAATGTCCATGGAATTGTAGAGTGTATAGGGAAGGCCAATACAAGCTAAATTCCTCTTGTTGCAGAAAACTGTTTGATTTTAGATGGAGGAACAAGCTTATCAGTGAGGCCATCAGCCTACCAGTGCCCGAGATGAGAGGTTATGACAAGTCAACGGCAGCGGTCATAGGACACATAGTGGATGGGAAATCAAAGCTCAGAGGCGAACAGGAACTTTAAACGTATGTGTATTCACAAAGGGAGTGGATTAAGCGATGAATCTTTGTATGACTTAAGACTTAAATGTACGAGTAGGATTTCACGAGAGTACCCCTAAGTTTAGCCGTCATGAATTTCCAATTTCCAGTCGTTGTTCCTGTTGCTTTACCGCGTATATCACTATATCTCCTCCTGGGTATAACATCAATTTGCCCAGGACCGCCAAGAGTGATGGGTCCAAATTTCAGTTTTTCCTGTGAAGTAGGGGCGGACTCAGTTATTCTGTGGGCCCCCTCATTCCAAGTTTCCAACATCCTCCGTCTTATCTCTTGTTCCACCAATGGGCCTTTTCTTTCCAAAATGCGTTACCCCTTTTCTTTTAAAATGCGTTGCATTATTTTCTATCCTAGTCTCTATATCTAATATTTAAAAATTTAAAGAGGCTAATGAGAATTGGGTCTAGCAGGAGGAGCTATTTTTCATAATATGATAAATTAAGGTTTCAATTCCACTGAAAGAGATGCCTACACTTAGTATCCGACAATGTCTCGAACATGATTGTCTTTAATAAGAGGATATCTATACTTATAAAAAAATATTTAAAAATCTACTTCAAAAAATTATTAATACCAATATTAAAAATAAAAAAATTTAAATATATAATACTTTTTAAATCCTGGCCTACTACTTTTGTTAAAACGCTAACTTATTTTGAAGGCTTTGATATTTAAACGCGTCGCATTTAGTTAATGATTAGTTTCTCAAAAATGTTATTATATTAAGTTATTAAGATTAATATAATTATTAGTCCTTATATTTTTAACAACATTTTATTTTTTAGTCAACATAATTTTAAATCGCTGTTTTGATTCCAAAAAAAGCTTCAATACTTAATTCGTTATATTATTATTGATATTTGATGTCTTTGTGTAGAGTATTTGTTTATTTTGCGTTCTCTTTGTTGTCCTGCATCGAAGTTAGGACCAAGATGGTTTTGCTTGTACATTCAAAGAAGCCAATTATGTGTGTGTGTGTCTCTCTCTCTCTATATATAAGTTTAACAAGTGCCGATATTTATAATTTTTAAAATGGTGCGGCTTATCTTTTAGATTCTATATAACACGAAGAAATTGTCTAGATAAAGCCATACAAGTAATCCAGAAGTGTACTGAAACTGAAACAATCATCAATATGTGTGTGCGCGCGCGCGCGTGTGCATATATATATATTCTTCGCTCGTATTTAACCGCGCTCACTACATCATCCAGCCAAGAACACTTGCATTGATCTCACTTTGTTACTGCAGTCATCAAGGCACAAACCCGAAGATGCTCTGGAGAAGGTAACATAGATTATAACTTTCACAGAACGTTTAACCTCAGCAATATACTATTTCTAACTTATATTCATTTCAACAATTTATTATCTATGCATTATTTATGCTGAACTCCTATACCTGATTCTCTCACACACACACACACATTTCATTTGGCTTAAGATTCTTCGACATGTATCTAGTTTGCATAATATCTGCCTACCAACACGCCTTGATTTATGTTGCAAATGTGACAGTTCGAAACCCAAAAGTTTCAGTCGTCTTCAACATCATTCCTCATTCAACTCGATTCTGCTGCAATGGTTTTTTATAACAATAGCAAGGCAATCTCCAAACAATTAATTTATTTATGTGTACATTCTAAAGCACATATAGTTAGTTGCATTAAACTTCAAGCCACCACAATCAAATTCATCTGGCTTCAAGTAAGGTCATTGACATTTCATTGGTTGAGCTGCATTCCTTCTGATTTGGGCTAGAAGTATGCTCCTTGAGTGAGCCCACGCCAGGAAAGAAACCGGGCAGTTTAGGTTCAGGGAGTGCCACTTCACTCTCCAACATCAAAATTGCAGATGCTATGGTGGGTCTATCATCTGGATTTTGTTGCACACACAACAGACTCACATGAATGCACCTTACTACTTCTGATACATTGCACAGTTCCTGCATGTTCTTGTCAAGCAATTCTAAAACTTTTCCTTCTTTCCATAGTAACCATGCCTGAAATATACATCTTATATATCAATTATCATCTTTTAGTTTGACATTCAATAAATTTTACAATATCGTATCTGAAGTACTCACATGGCTAGCAAGATTGTGTGTTGAGTCTTCTAGATAAAATCCTCTGTTTTTCTTTCCTCTAATAATCTCTAGCATTAATATACCATAACTAAAAACATCGGATTTCACTGAATATAGCCCATCTGCTGCGTATTCAGGAGCCATGTATCCACTACAAAACATGCATGAGGAGATTAGAACAAATTAGACATGGAAAGTTGGGAAGTAGGCTAAAAGTAAGATTAGGTCAAGAAAATTACTAAGTGCCCACTACTCTCTTTGTACTGCCTTCTTTTTCCTCTTCTCCAAAAGTTTTAGCTGACCCAAAATCTGATATTTTTGGAATCAACTTATCATCAAGTAAAATATTGCTTGCTTTCAAATCTCTATGAATTATTCGTAATCTTGAATCTTGATGAAGATATAAAAGACCTCGACCAATACCCATAATAATGTGAAAGCGCTTAAACCAGTCCAACAATTTCCTTTTGGTTTCATCTATAGACATAAAAGAGTAAGTTATTTATCTCATTAGAATTATGAATTCAAATTTAAATATCAGTACCAAAATACATGATGTAATTATAAATTTTCTTGTCTTCATACCAAAAATGAAGGAGTCCAAACTTCTATTTGGCATGTACTCATATACCAACAACTTTTCTTGTTCATGGACGCAGCAGCCAAGAAGTTTTACTAGATTTCGATGTTGGAGTTTGGCTATAAATTTTACTTCATTTTTGAATTCAATAAATCCAAGTTCGGATCTTCTTGAAAGCTTCTTCACAGCAATTTCTTGTCCATTTAGTAACTTTCCCTGCGTGTTGAAATTTTTGAGAGTACTGAAAAAAAAACTATTTATAACATCTGATTATTAGAAGTTCATGACTCAAACATTGAATTACCCAATATACAGGTCCAAATCCACCTTCTCCGATTTTGTTCTTCTCTGAAAGATTTTCAGTGGCTTGTGCTATTGTTGGAAGATCGAACAGTGGGAGATCTAGATCATCTCTTTCATTGTTTTGAATTTCAACTCCTGCATTTCTTGATTTTTCTGAAAGAAGCATGGAATTTGAGTAAGGGCAAGACGATGACTATACATAATTGCTCTAAAGGCCAAGGGAACATAAGTGACTAATGTAGCTGTAATGAACACCCCTCAACTAAATTAAAAGCACAGAGAAAATTTGCACAAGAAGAGTCAAATTTATGAAGCTATAGGGTTTCATTACTGGAAGTTCATTTGACAGATTTATATAATTGTAAATATTTGATGCAAGACCAAATATTATTGGAGATGCAATTAAAATAAAGTCTAGAAAATTAAATGAAACAGAGAATGTTCAGAAGGAAGCAGAGAGGAAGATGAAGAAGAAGAGAGGCGCAAGAGGGAGAAGAGACTTCTTAAAGTAGTCGGCCCATTGGTGCTCTCAACATCATTCAAGCCCACCTTAAGTTGGACAAGATTAAAAAAAGTCAAATTCTAGTTTAGAAGCAGAGGGTGAGGATAAATAAACACATATACAGAAGTGTGAATATATTTTCTTTTAAGTTCCCATCACCAACAATTAATTAACTGGTTATAGGACAAGATCAAATACAGAACAAGACGATCAGGAAGGAATTCCCCTCTTCATCTTGCTAAATGGTAAGCTGCCTAAATCCCAACCCATACTTACGAATAATAGATATGGACACAGCATTTCTAAGAAGCAGCCCGAAGCAGTGGGACTTGACTGAGATTTAAAAATAGGAGTAAGGAACTTTACCAATCCTCTTCCTGCAGACTCTGTAAATGAAATAGCTCCCAACTAAAAGAATGCATAAAATCACAGCAATGGTGATGGCAACGATCATTATCAACTTTTTATTTTTCCCAGGTTCTGCATAACCGTGGTTGAATGATTCATGCACAAAGAAACTCCGGTGAAAATTCAAGCATGAAAATGTACCAAATAAAGCAAAATAATAAAAGTCCTCACCTAATTCTGGAGCAGGCATTCGAACATACAAAACCTCTCCTCCTGATGCATAATACTTGATATCAATTAGATCACCAAACCACAAGACGCAACCACTACCTGCCCCTCTGATATCTGAATTAGTGTAGGCCATGCAAGAACAATTATCCAAGCACTTCTCTCTGCATTGCACTAGATTCATTGTCTCATCAAGCCAAGAATTTGTAGTTTCCGGCAATTTCAACCCTTCCATTTTCATAAACTTGTCTGCGTATTTTTCAGAGCAGTTTAGAGGTTTATTGCGGACACATCCATCGGACCAGTCCACTGAGTTCCATTTCTGTGGTGACTTAGGCACGAACCCTTTAAGGCATTGACACGGGGGTGATTCAGTAATGACACATTTCCCATTGGGCCCGCACAGCTTATATTGGTCACAGTAATCACTAGGCTTTTTAGCATAAAGCTTCCAATTTTCATCACCTTTCAACCACACATAGCGAATATCTGCTTGCTCAGTTAGGTTGATCGTGTACCTTGAGATTATAGAACTATTCTTGAGGGTGTACCGATAGAAAGCCTCATTTCTTGTGGATACGAACTCAAAATCGAAAATGTAATTCTCTTTCAGTTCTGGTGAGCCACTAAGTCCCACGCCATTCCATGGTCCATTTCTGAAGAACTTTGAACCTTCTTTCATTATATAAAATTCAGGATAGTCACGGGGGGCTAGAGTTAGATAAAAGTCACTTGGAGATGGATCTTCCGGAGTCTTCCAGGCTGTTAGACGTCTATTCAAACCTGTTCTCAGGTCATATCCCAATTTCATCCCCGAGAGCAGTGTGTCACTTGGGTAGTCAAAGCTTTGCCACAAATATGCTTCTGGATCATCGTCCTTCTCATCTCGAACCACAAGATTTCCAGAATCCAAGAGCTCAGCCACTGGATTCTGCACTTGTTTCAGAGAAGTTGAATTCCAAATAATAGTATCATCTTGGGCCAGGACGAGATTGCCTGTGCTGTTGAGCATTAATTTAGCAGTGACAGAGGAACCATGGATTGATTTGTCTCTGTTTGCTACCCAAACAACTGTCTGAATGGGGACGTTCTTGTACCAAATTCCCAGATAGTGTTTACCAGAGCTTCCAGGACTGAAGAAGCCAAGTTCAAAGCTTCCACCTTTGGACACTAATGTCATGCCATCAGTCATTAAGGAATTGGGTTGAAGGATGGAATCAACTGCCCCAGAAGCTTGTAAAGAAGAGATAAGTATGGAAACAACAACAGTAATGAAATGAACAATATCCATGGAATTGCAGAAAACTGTCAGATTTTAGATGGAGAAACAAGCTTATCTGTGAGGCAATTAATCCATCCATCTGCCCAGGATAAGAGGGTGTAACAAGTCAAGCACAAGTCAACTGCGGCTGCCATAGGACACATAGTGGTTGGGCAATTAAAGCTCAGAGGCCGACAGGGACTTTAGATGTATTCGGTATCAACAAAGGATGTGGATTAAGCTTGAGAGCCATGAATAGTTTTTTTAAAAGAATTATCGGTTGGATGCGTAGCCGTCAAAGTATAGCTTTTTTTTTTTTTTTTTAATAGTGAATTTCAAATTTCTTGACAATATTGCACGAGGGATCCTTCTTCTGCATCACTTGTATACCTTTTCGTGCTAAAAGGTAGAAAGACGAGCCTCTCCCATGTGCTAGAGACCGCAACTGAATGATCAAAACGTCAAATTTTTTTTTTTTTTAAACAAGGTTTCGTATTTTAAAAGTACTAACTGCGATCGGGTCGCCGGAAGCTTCAATATGTTTATCATATTTCCAGAGAAAAAGAATTCATTCATCTCCATCCCAGAGATATTGAAATGACATTATTTTTCAAAACAAAAAGTTGAATATTTGAGTGTACGAGGCAATCCATCCATCCAATAAGCTCTTTTTATTTTCATTTATAATTTATAATTATAATATAATTCTTATAATTAAAATTTATATGAGAATTTTATTTTGTATAAAAATCAAAATAACAGTCAAACTAAAATAAAATTAATTTTTGGATTTTATTTATTAATTATTTACTTCAAAATAAATTTTTTTTCCTTGCCCTAATTTTCTTACCACCCAAACAGGAGAGATTAGCCTTAAATGTTAAATTTTGTTTTCTTTTTTCCCCCAGAAAACTATGGGTTTGATGGGTACCTATACAAATCTCTTGTGAAAGAAGGGTAAAAGTAAATGGATATCCCGTTAAAATGTACATCTCTTATATAGACACTTGTATGTCACACGTGTCAAGTGCAAAGAAGACCAAATCGATTAGAGCAGAGAATAGTTAAATTACACTTGAGTTGAAGCTAAATACCTTATTCTAACATAATTTCTTGAAAAATTTATGCCCAAGTAGTCCTTGCTGTTTTACGATATTATATCTCGTCGCACAGAGACCGACTCATTGGTGGATCAAAATGTCGGTTTTATTTTCAGGTTTCATGTAGTCGAAAGAACATGTTCAAGTCTTAAATCCATAAATAGATACACATTTTGAGCATCCGCTATGATCTCAAGGCCAAATCTTCTTCCCTTTCTTTGTTGGCCATGGATCTTAGATCTAAATCTTTCAATTCTTCTTCAAGCATAGTTCTGGTAATCCATGACAAGCAAGAAATTTGGCTAAAACAACAGTGTTCCAACATGGTGACAGCGTGAAACAAGACAAATTCATCTATTCCGTAGGATTCAATACAAAGAAGGACTTTTTAGTCCTCCTGTCCACTTTACACATACAAAGGGAATGTACCGCTTGACTTTTACTACGTTTTCCTGTAATTATCACCGAGCCTCTAGTAAGGTGAGTGTTATTTCATTAGTTGAACCAGACTGCATTTGATGACTTGATGATGAACTTGCTTCTGATGTAGCCTTCCCCGTAAAGAAACCAGGTTGTTTAGGCTCATTCAACTCATTCTCACTCCCCAACATCAAAACAACAGAAGACATGCTGGGTCTGTCTTCAGGATGCTGTTGCACACACAGAAGACTAATGTGGATGCATCTCATTATTTCTGATACAACGTATGTCTCCTCTATGTTTCTGTCTATCAGTTCTAGAGCCCTCCCTTCTTTCCACAGCAACCATGCCTGAAAACACGAACTTCCTTATCATTTGTCTATTCATAGAGTAATATGATTAGGAAAAATGTCTCGTACACTTACATGACATATGAGGTTATGAGAACGGTCTGCATTATAGAACCCTCTGTTTCTCTTCCCATATATAATTTCCATTACCAGAATACCAAAGCTGAACACATCAGATTTTGTTGAGAATAATCCGTCCGCTGCATACTCAGGTGCCATGTAACCACTACAAATGTCATTTTGAAAATAATAGTTAGAAGCTAGCTAATGGTGGACTCTAGTTGTTCAAAAAACTTGGTATGAATAAATTAAACAAAAAAATACTTACTAGGTACCCACTACTCTATTTGTATTGCCTTCTATTTGCTCTCCACCAAAGGTTTTAGCCATGCCAAAATCTGATATCTTTGGATTCAACTTCTCATCAAGTAAAATATTACTTGCCTTTAAATCTCTATGAATAATTCTCAATCTTGAATCTTGATGAAGATACATGAGACCTCGAGCAATGCTGCAAGTTATGTTAAAACGTTTTGGCCAATCCAGCAACTTACCTCGATTTTCATCTGTTACAAATCCCATTAAAAGTAAATAACATTTTCTCTAATTTAAAATATTTTTGTCATGAGTTGCAACATATATAATGACACTAAAAATCAGAGATATTTTGTTATATTAGTACCAAAAATAAAGGAGTTCAAGCTTCCATTTGGCATGTACTCATAAACAAGCATTTTCTCTTGTCCTTGAAGGCAGCAACCAAGAAGTTTTACAAGATTTCGGTGTTGAAGTCTTGCAATTAGTCTCACTTCATTCTTGAATTCAATTAATCCCTGTCTTGAGCTCATAGAGAGTCTCTTTACTGCAATTAATTTCCCATTCACTAATTTTCCCTGCACAATTACGTTGTGATTGTATCGATACATTAGATAAGTATAAGACTGCAATGCATTACACCCGTGATACAGGTAGATTGTCACATCTTTAATTAATCTTCAATCATCAAGCTACTGATAATAATGTAGAATTACCTTATATACAGTTCCAAATCCACCTTGTCCAATTTTGTTCTCCAACGAAAAGTTGTCAGTGGCATCAGCTATCGTGGGCAGGTCAAGCAAAGTGAGGTCTGCATCATCTTCAGATCCTTCACTGTGTTGATCTTCTTCTTTGACTTTTGCTTTATCTGCAAAATTAGAAGAAAAGTGTTCAGTTATTTCACGAGCATGAAACGAAGCTCATATAAATTTGTCACACATGCAAAAGAATAATAATAAAGTAAATTTACCAGTCATCTTTCTGCGGACATTGCAAATAAAGTAACATCCAACTAGAAGCATCCCTGAAGTTGCAGCAATGGTGGTAGCAACTATTATTATCAATTTCTTTCTGCGTCGATTTCCCACTTCTTCATGGTTGAGACAGATCAAACAAAAAGACTGTTCAATTAACTAATTGAAAGAGGGAAACTGAATTTTTGAAAAATGGAAAAGGATCCTTCATAGTAAAAACAATTGAAGAACAATAAAGTGATAAAGTTTATGCATGTCCCCACCTAATTCTGAAGCAGCCATTCGCACATACAGATCCTGTCCTCCAGAAGCAAACTGTCTGATGTCCATAAGATTACCAAACCACATGGCACACCCACTCCCTTGTCCTCTTACATCTGAATTTGTGAAGGCCGTGCAAGAACAATTATTCAAGCATCTCTGTCTACATTCCTCTAAGGCCATTGTCTCATCAAGCCAAGTATGGGTTGTATCTGGCACTTTCAATCCTTGCAATTTGATAAAACCATCCTCAGAGCAATTCAGAGGTTCATTTCGGACACACCCAGCAGACCAATCCATGGAATTCCACGCCTGTGGTGACTTAGGATTGAACCCTTTTAAGCACTGACAAACTGGTGACTCAGTGATGATACAGTTCCCATTGGCTCCACACAAACCATAATGGTCACAGTAGTCTACTGGCTTTGATTTATAAACCATCCAGTTTTGATTAGCTTCCACCCACACATATCGATACCGAATGTAATCCGTTTGGTTCATTACTATCCTTGAATATACAGAACTGTTTGTCAGATAGTATGTGTAGGAGATCTCTTCCTTATTGTAGATGAATTTGAAGTAATAAACAGGGTTGGGCTTCACGTCCGGTGAGCCACTTGTGTGGAGACCATTCCAGGGTCCAAATCTGCTATAAACCTTATCTCCTCTCATTAGTGCAGAATCTGGATAGTTATGGGTATCTGTAACGCAAGAGAAGTCTCCTGGAGCGGGATCATCTGGACTCGTCCAAGCTGTGAGAGTCCAGTTCTTTCCTTTCTTCAGGTTATATCCAAATTTCATACCTGGCATTAATGTATCCGACGGAAAGTCAAAGCTCTGCCACAAATAATTTTCTGAATTTGCTTCGTTTTCCTCTCTCAATACCAGATTGCCAGAATCCAAGAGCTGCACCACTGGATTACGTGCTGTTTTCTCTGAGTTTGCCTGCCAAACGACAGTGTCATTTTGGCGCAGGACAAGGTTGCCGCTGGTGTTTAATGTTAGAATACCTGATGAACCGTTGATTGGGTTTATTCTGTTTGCAACCCAAACTACTGTCTGAATTGGGACATTCTTGTACCAAATACCAAGGTAGCGTTTCTTTGATTGTCCAGGACTGAAGAAACCAAGTTCAAAGTCTCCACCTTGAGAAACTAAGGTCATGCCATCTCTTATGAACTGGGTCGGAGCAATGGAATCTACTGCTACTGAAACTGAGAAGGAAGGGAGTAAATAAGCAGCGATAATCAGGAAGCAAAGAATACCCATCAAAATAATACAAGGTAATTTGCACCACTCTGTATGGTGGCTAAATTTGCTGATGAAGCTGTGGCTGACGAATAAGATATAATGTCAGTGATTGAGTTATAGGTATGGTGCGGCGTACGCATTATGCTAACTCCCATTGGTCGTCACAGTTATATATCCTCATGACAGCGGCACTGAGATTTTGTGGAAATATAATATTTGCTTCCAATTCATTAGTGTCTACCACAAAGTCAAGAGTCAACGTTGATGTCTAATATTTCAACCCCAATAACTACAGCAGGGCCCATTGGACATGATTTTCTCCCCACAAAAATCCGTTGCACCCGACATGGATGAATATGACAGAAATTAATGAAGATATGGGAATGAATAAGAACAATTATTGGGGTTGGCTGCGACGCACTGTGCTTTGACTATCAACTAACGTGTTGAATGGAGGGAATCGGCCTTTGAAGATATATGAGTTGAAAAGCCTTAGTGAGGACTAATCTTAATGATTTCTGTTAAAATCTTGCGTACTAACTTGTGTTCTCCTCGTTCCATGAGACGAAAGATTTTAGCAAGTGACTGTAAGCCTTAAAACTTAAATGACTGAACTCGACACTGTTAAGCTGAAAATACAAGGTGACTTCCACCGCCTTGTATACTGTTATGTACAAAGCAGTGGATTTGACGATTTGAGGTTCACTATTTTGAAACGTATTAAAATGGGACAATATCATAGCAGCAGTTATTGCCGTGCAAAGACAATTCCTATTCTAAACAATGCTTGGTAGGGTCACATGCCGTCGCCCATACGAACCAGGACACTAGGGGGCTCATCTCAGCAGCTAAAGGGGACTAATTTCTTAAGTCTTGACTTGAATTTCAAACGCCGTTAGTCTATGTTATTGTTGCCTTCTTCAATCTATGATGAAGATTGACTATCATCATCCCCTTGATTGACTTTTCCTTTTTTCTTTTCTTTTTTTTTAATCTTAATTTTTAGCTAGTTTCCAATAACAGGTCAGCTAAAAGCTACCAATAATTACAGGCAAGGTTTTTTCATTGACCGAGTCAGTTGCATTGCCTTGAGGGTGAAGCTGTATATAGCTTTCTAAGCAGGGCAAGATGCTCTTTTAGCTTATGCCAAAGTCTTTATGATAACCTCATGGTTTAAATGCTTTAGTTTATCCCCCGAATTCCTTGTAAAGATAAGGAAGAAAAAGGTAAAATAAAATTTACCAGAGCAAATCAAGATATTTTGAATGGATAAGAATTTACAATATCAAATTAAAAAAACTTTCAAGGCACTAAATTATTCACTATAATTTAGATATTGCAAACTTGGAAACATTCCATTTTCTCCCAAAAGGATACCAGGTAATAACAAGTGGAGGGAAAAAAAAAAAGAGTTTATAGCAAGTTAGTTAGGTCTGAAGTAAAGTCAAGAAATTTTCAAATTGCCAATCCAAGTACAACATCCTAAACATACTCTAAATATTATCGAGCTTCTAATTGAGAAATTGTCATTTCATTAGCAGATACATGTTCTAACTGAGTTGAAGAAGAACTTGTTTCAATCGACAGTTTTCTCGCATAAAAACCAGGTTGCTTGGGCTCTGTCAATTCCATATTGCTTCCTAGCATTAGAACCACCATTGACATAGTAGGCCTATCTTCAGGATCATGCTGAACACACAAAAGGCCAATGTGTATACAACGCAATACTTCCGGTTCATTACATGAGTCTTCAATATTTTTGTCAATGAGTTCTAGAACCCTTCCTTCTTTCCATTGTGTCCATGCCTGAAACAAGAAATTTACTTGTCAATATCAACTTTGCAACGGTAGACAAAAAATTTATACAAGGTACTTACATGACCAACAAGGTTATTAGTATTGTCTGCATGATAGAAGCCTTTACTTTTTCTACCAGTTATTATCTCTAACAACAAAACACCAAAACTGAAAACATCAGATTTTATTGAAAACAACCCGTCGGCAGCATATTCTGGTGACATGTAGCCACTACAAAAACACATTCACAATAAAAATTGTTAGTACATACTAGATATATGATAAAAATTATATAGTATGATTGCTTTGAAGTACTCACTAAGTCCCTACTACTCTGTTTGTGCTTCCCTCAATCTGGTCGCCTCCAAAAGATCTAGCTAACCCAAAGTCTGATATTTTGGGATTCAACTCATCATCTAGTAAAATGTTGCTTGCTTTGAGATCCCTATGAATAATCCTTAATCTAGAATCTTGATGAAGATATAGAAGACCTCGAGCAATCCCACAAATAATGCTAAACCGCTTACACCAATTGAGCACTTTACTTCTATCGTTATCTGTTCCATCCATGTTGATTGTTTATTTTTAGAAGCTCAAGTTTCATAAGTTTCAAATGCATTATATTCAAAATAACAGGCATCCTAATGTCAACCATTTTGCAGTACTCATACCAAATATGAAGGAGTCTAAGCTACTATTAGGCATGTATTCATAGACTAGCATTTTCTCTTGCTCTTGTATGCAGCATCCAAGCAATTTGACAAGATTTCGGTGTTGAAGTTTTGCAATCAGTTTCACTTCATTCTTGAACTCATTGACTCCTTGTCCTGAAATTTTTGAAAGCCTTTTCACTGCAATTTCTTGCTTATTTTCCAATCGTCCCTGCACATGAATAATTTTTCAATACATGGGAGCTAGATATAGTTTTTATAGGTTGTTACTTGTTTCTTATATTTCATCCAGAATCTTACCCTGTATACAGGTCCAAAGCCGCCTTCACCAATCTTCTTTTTCATCGAGAAGTTATCAGTCGCTGTAGATATTTCAGAGATGTCAAGCAATGGGAGGTCCAGATCTTCCTCTTGTCCTTCACTACTTTGCGCTCCTAAATTTTTTGGTTCCTCTGGCAAAATTGACAAATTTACCTTTGTTAAAACATACAACCATGACAAGATGATTTAAATGAATATTAAGCTTAAACAGTTTTTCCTGCCGGGGGTAAAACTTTGTAACTCTTCCAACATCCTCTATCTTTCTTGGGGTTCAAATGGAAAACAACTTCATTTTCATATGCAGAGCAAGCATTCTAAGAGGTGAATCACTTGGGGAAATAAGTTTAAGATAAATATAGATAAATAACACGGGAAAAAGTTATATGTACAGTACTTAGATTACTGAAAAATTTCTTGTCCTATAGATTACTCTAATTTGATTAGGAAGATGTTTTCTGTTTCAACTAGTTTCCTAGAATGTAAGTCATCAAAACTCAATGAAAAGCCAGAAAGAAAATGCAGCCTTAAAAATGAGCAAGTGATCTTACCATTCAGTTTTCTTTTCGCATTTCTGATATAACACATCCCAAATAAAAGCATCCCAAAAACAACAACGGGTATAATGGTAGCGGCTGCTATTGTCATCTTCTTCCTGCCCTCATTTTGTGAGCCTTCAACAAACAGGAGAAAAGACGAGGCCAAAAAAGACGAGGAGGAGGAACATCAGAAGAAGAAGCAAGGGCTAAACTACACGTTGTAAGAATGAACTTGAGATTTCATAAATAAAAAAATTTTTAAAAAGGAAGCCATGATAAGGGAAAGATATAGACCCTACCTAGTTCTGAAGCGTCCATCCGAATATACAGATCCTGTCCCCCAGCAGAAAATTGTCTGATGTCAATCAGATCTCCAAACCACATGGCACAACCACCACCTTGTCCTCTTATATCTGAATTTGCGTAGGCCATACAAGAACAGTTGTTCAAGCACTTTTGTCTGCATTCTCCCAGGCCTATTGTCTCATCCAGCCAAGTATGAGTAGTATCTGGCAATTTCATCCCACTCACTTTGAGAAACCCAACCTTCTTTTTGTCCTCACAATTCAGTTTTACTTTCCTGACACAACCATCAGACCAGTCTATTGAGTTCCATTTTTGCGGTGACTTGGGCTCGAACCCGTCTAAGCATTGGCACACTGGTGAATCAGAAAGGATACAATTTCCATTGGGTCCACATAACCCGTAAGTGTCACAATAGTCCTGTGGAATGGTTGAATAAATCCTCCAGGTTTTCTCAGTCTCTGTCCACACATAACGATAACGAACAGATTTGGATTGGTTCATCGTTAGCCTTGTGATTACAGAGTCATCCTTGAGACTGTACGAATAGTAGACCCCGCTTTTGTTGGACACGAACGTGTAACTAAACACAGGATTTGGCTTTAATTCTGGGGAGCCGCTAAATCCCATGCCATTCCACGGACCAGTTCTGAAGATTTTTGAATCTCCTCTCAGCATATAAAAGTCAGGATAACTATTGAGGGCTACAGTCATAGAGAGGTCTCCTGGAGATGGATCGTCCTGACTCTTCCAAGCTGTAAGACGCCTATTCAAACCTGTGGTTAGGTCGCATCCTAATTTCATCTCTGGTAATAGTGTGTCAGTTGGAAAGTCGAAACTTTGCCACAAATAGGCTTCTGGGTCTGCTTCTTCCTTATCTCTCACCACAAGATTCCCAGAATCTAGGAGCTCAGCTACCGGATTCTGCACTAGTTTCACAGGAATTGAGTACCAAACCACAGTCTCGTTTTGAGTGAGGACAAGACTGCCTGTAGTGTTTAGCGTTAAGGTTGCAGCAGAGGAATCGTTGACTGGGTTGACTCTGTTTGCTACCCAAACTACTGTCTGAATTGGGATGTTCTTGTACCAAATTCCCAGATAGTGTTTACCAGAGTCTCCAGGAGTGAAGAAGCCAAGTTCAAAGCTTCCACCTTTGGACCCTAATCTCTTGCCACCACTCATCTGAGAACTAGGTTGAAGGATGGAATCAACTGCCATGGAAGCTCGAAGAGAAATGACAAGTACAAAGGAAAGGAGAGCCAGGAAAGAAAGAATGGCCATGGAATTCTACAGATTGCACAAGAGGTGTGAATGATGACAATGGATTCTGAATCAGCGACGCCCCGATGAACCGAGACGTCATGTCGGTGAATATTGAGCGAAATTTTCCTACTCACGGGGACACAAAATTCAACACCTACATTGATAGATGGCACAGCGAGTCAATGTCCTTTCTCGTTGGCAGTTTATGAATGGCTGACCCGCGCGCCAAATGTTACCTAACGGTCAAAAAGATATTAAACTTTACGAATTTTATTTCGCTGGGCAAGCAAAGTCACGTGTGAAGCGACGTCTGGGGAAAACCCGGTGATTTCTTGAAAATGAAGTCATGCAAATCTTCGAGAAGGAATGCTGGGAGTGAAATTTAAGGACAGATCAGAAATTGTCTTTTTTGGGCCCAGAATTGGATTAGGAGTTGCCGTGGGAAGCCATGGTCCCTTAAATAATTCATATATAAACGTATTTTACATAATTTATATATATTTTTATAACATACTACTCCGTCCCTAATTATAAAAACCTTTTAGTTAAATTGTGTTTTTTAAGAAAACAGTTAAAATTAATTAAAAATAATTAATATGTAACAAATGTAATTTTTTTCTAAATATACTCCTAATAAATATAAGAGAGTAATAATAAGATAAATAGAAAGAGAATGTATGGAGAGAGAATGCAATATATGAAATTTATAAGGGATAAAATAGGTAACTATGCATTAAATGTTCAAACAAACTCAAAAAAAACCTTATAAAAAGAGATAAATCCGTTCAAAAAAAAGGATCTTATAATTAGGGACAGAGGGAATATATCATTTGCCCATTATTCCTCATTTCCTAATAATGTTTATTAAGTATGGGTTTTGTTTTTTTTTTTAACAAGATGTCGATTTCAAATGGTTGAATAATGAGAAGGTGTTTGAGTAAAAACAAAACCATAATTTTAAAAATATTTTTACGGTATACGAAGTAAATATATAAAGGGATTAGTCTCAATTTGTGAAAAAATGCTTCTAAGAAGTGTTTTTACAAAACCATGGTTTTATTTCTACCCAAATATTTTTTTAACTGAGAGTATTTTTCCTAAGTTGTTTCACCGCCAGATTTTTAAAACTAAAACCTATAGCAGATAAATCAGTTTTCCAGGTGGGAATATACGAGCAGATCCAATTGTGATTCTGTAACACATTGTCACTGATGACTAGCTCACGATTATTCGGGTGTTAAGGATTTCCGAAGTGAAAAAATGTAAATGAAATAAAACCAGAGGAGACAGTCTCGAGTCGATGCTCCGAGTTTGGTTGATTGCGCCAAATGCCAGTGCCTCGTCAGGTTTGTGGTAGTTCAGTTAATTACTGGGGTTACTGTCAGAACAGTAAATATTGTTCGGATAGTACAAGATTTGGGGTGTGTTTGGGTCACAACCCAAACCATGATTTGGGGAATAATCTACCCAAACACCCCTCCAAAAACCAAAACCATGGTTTTGGGTCAAAATCATGGTTTTGACTCCAAAACCATGGTTTTGGAAAAAGCAAAATTTTTTTGCTTTTGAAGAAAGAAGGGAGAGTGTGATGGCCTATATGATATGTATCTTGTTATTTTTTTTATAAACGTATTTTTTTATAAATATATTTAATCTTATATTTTATAAATATATATACACATTAATTATTTATTAATTATATTATCTTATGTATTATTAATTATGTTGGTAAAAAACATATTATTAACAATTTTATTCCTTTAAATTAAAATATATCATAAAATCTATTTTTTCTGTAATTATCATATTAACTTATGTCTTTTTTTTAGTAATTTGTATATATAAAAAGTGCTTCTGATAACAACTATCCAAACACTCTCACTTCTCAGAATCACTTTTTTACAAAATCTATTCTTCACAGAATCTATTTTCTCCAGAATCTATTCTTCAAAATCACTTTTCCAAACCACAGTTTGGTTTCATCCAAACACACTCTTGATGCTTCTTGGATCCCTATTCCATGTGTACTCGTTTCATAGGTCCCATCCGAACCTGGCAAATGCAATATAATCAATACTCGGCCACAATTGGGTTCTGCTTCTGAACTTGCGGGCCTGCTTCTTTCTCATCTAAAACACCAGCCGGCCCCTTCCAGCAACTCTGCCTCCACAGTCAAAACAGCCCCGTTATGCACGGCACAAGCTTGTCGGTGCCCTTGCGATGTGTAAAGATAACGCATGATCGCCAACCGCCTCTAGGCGGAGTGGCACCTAGTGTGGGCGTGTGTTGGTAATGTGCGGGCTCGATCCCGCCCCTCATGTAACCCAAAAAGAAAAAAGAAAAGAAAAAGATAACGCATGATCATGTGCAGGATAACTGGAGAATACTGAGCTCCGAGGATTCGATACTTGGACGTTATTTCTTACTCTTGTTCATGCATGGTGCTTGATACCTGTGTTCCGGTAATGGGAAGCGTGCTTTTCCAATAATCCCTTGATGTCTGGGATTCATTTCCAGGAACTATGTTTCACGGCCACCAGGAAAGAACTATACATGACATGGTCCTCGTCATAATCCCAGCCACGTACATGGAAAAGCCTTACTGTGATCCAATCAATCCTTATATTAATAGTTAATCAAACTTCGCATATCTTCATGGGGTTACTTTGGGAGTTTCAGTCGCTCCGATTCTCTCCCACCAATAAAAATGCCCTCAGTTTATGACTCTCTTTGCTGTTATTGTTATATTATAAGGCATCAACTTCGATACAACAAACACATTGAAACTCTTTCCGGTGGAGCTCAAATGCGAATATATTAATCTACCACATACAGAAGCCTGTTGCCACTTTTGTGGGTAATAAAATAAATAAAGAGTGCATTGGGATTCATATATAGAGACCCACCTGAAAGTAACAGAGTAAAAAATACATGAGATTAAGGCGAGAAGGGTGGCTCGTAGGACCCAAATCAAATCAAATCCACTAATTTCTGATTTCTCCTTCTTTGTTTTTTCCCCCCATGAAATGTAAGAATAAAATTTAATCTGTTCATTATTAAGGTGGGGCGTGATATCCAGACGATGCGTTGCGTTGACGGTCAAGGTTTTCCAGGAGGGGCTAAGGTGGGGGCCGCTACCACGTACGTGGGCCAATAATCTCACCGGCAACCTGCTCTGACAGTCCTAGCCACTTCCTAATAAGCATACGGGACCCAGCAGGGAACCTTAATCTTCCCGGTCGTCCTTCACTGTTTATGCACGTGTTTTAAGTCATGCGGCATGAGTCGGGGTCCCCTCTCTGCGCCATCATGCTTCTCTCCGCCGGACGTTTTAACCGCAGAGTATTAATTAAAAATAAGAAATAAAAACTGAGACTATAATTAAAAAAAAAAAATAGTACGAAGAGATTATTTGCCACATAAATTATACAAGCCTATTTATGGGGTATTAGAAAATATGAAAGTGATATTTTCCAATCCAACTTTTATAAGTTTGTTTAATCTCTTGTCATGAATAATTTTTATGTTAAATATTTTTTTAATAATTTTTTATTTATAATTCCGGTTTTTATCTCTTATTTTTAATGTTTTGTATTGAATGAGACCATGTTTCTCTCCCTTCCCAAACCCTTGCTCGTAACAGGTCACAACTTTGATATTATAACGTATTTTTAAATCTTTACTTTTCCTCATTTTTGTTTGAAAAAATTATATATATAGAAGACATGGCCCAATGCGTATAACCATAATTTCAGGCCACGTCAGGCATTACTCAGGTGCTCTTACCGTTTCAGATTTTACTAATTCCGAGCCCAAATCTAAGCCTCAATGTCCGAGGAATCTTTACTCAACGAAGTATGTTCCTAAATTACAGTTTCACCCTTACATGGGTCTGAATAATCCCGGGCCTCTTCATCTGGCGTTGCTGATTTTACCAAAATGCCCAGCATTCTTAACCCAGGTTAGATTTCATCATCATTATGTCTCCCTTTTCATACACACGCGTATATGATTATGCTCTTTAGTGTACTTAACCACCTTTCTTATGGGTTACAACCTTCCAATTAAAACAAAAGAAAATCGAGCAAAGAGTGATTAGCTGGTTGAGCTAATTGGGCCACTCTTGTACACTAAACTACCATATTTTGGAGCTGCTTCGCTTTGACTACACTTGATTATAACCATTTCGTATGTATAAATAATCGTTTTTATGGCCACTTGTAAAGTTGATGATAATATATGATGCCAGCATCTTGCTTTCACTTGGAGGAAAGGGGAAAGGTTATTGAGAACTACCACTATTACTGTCATAAATACATCCATCAAATAACTAATTTTCTCTATTAACCAACCCAAAGAAAAGAAAACTAACAACATTTTACAAGCGTAGAAACAAACCAACGTAAGATGCAATTGAGGCACATTTTTTGGGTGTATGCGGTACGTAATGTGGGAACAAGCTTCAATTAAAGGCTTCGTGGACCCTGCACAGCATCATTCGTAGTCACCATCGATGGGGGTAATATTGACAATTCATACTTGCATCTTCCTTTTCCCATTTGCTTACACTGTCTTTCCGTGCTCCGATTTCCCCTCCCACTCACACTCTGTCTCTCTCACCCCCTTTCCTCTCTCCGGCGGCCCCCAAAAAAACTTCGCTTAAACCTCAAATTCCCTCCTTTCTCTTTTTTTATTTGGTGGCCAGCAGGTATGGCTTTCTTTAACACTCTACTCTTCGCAGTGTTCCTCTTCATTTCTCTCGCCTCTCTCTCTTCTTCATCCTCCCCTTCCATTCACGATCTCCTCCGGTCCAAGGGTTTGCCGGCGGGTCTCCTGCCGGAGGAGGTAAAGTCCTACACCTTATCGGAGGACGGACTGTTAGAGGTCTTTCTCCAGGGGCCCTGCTTGACGAAATACGAGAACAGAGTCCTCTTCGAAAGCGTGGTGAGAGCTAACCTCACTTATGGCAGCCTTATTGGAGTCGAGGGTCTGTCTCAGGAAGAGCTTTTTCTGTGGCTACCTGTTAAAGATATCATAGTGGATGATCCCAAGTCAGGTTTGATTCTCTTCGACATTGGGGTCGCTCACAAACAGCTCTCCCTCTCTCTCTTCGAAGATCCACCTCACTGCAAGCCCCAAGGTAACGGCTTTTTCTCTCTCTCGTCAAACGACCTTAATTTTCTCTCCCATTTTTTCTTCCTAATGTTTTAATCGATATCGCACTCGCAGCTGCGCAGAATTTACTATACACGATCTTCGGTCAAACTTGATACCGTTTAATTTGTTCCAATTGGAGTGACTAGGTTCCTCAATTTCTTTTCGCAATTTCCTCATCTGTTAGGTGGAGAAAATGTAAAACATATTGTAGCTTTTGTGTTAACCACGATTCATAATGCTCTGTAGCTCTTATTTCGTATGAACGAAACAGCTTTTGGAGATCTTTATAATATAATTCTGGTATCTGATAACTGTAGCTCCATTCGTGGCTCTTAATCTTTTAGTACCAATATCTACCCGAGAAAACAATACTAACACGGTGACAAACATCGACTCGCCGTTTTGTTTTTAGCTAGAATTCCCCAAAAATATAAAATTTTTTTGTTATATTTGGTTTTTTTTTTTTGGGGCGGGGGGTGACCAAAGGAAGTTCTCTCTGATATAGAAATTGTTCTACCCATCAAGTCTGTATTGGGCAGAGAGGTGTCTGGAGCATCAGTGTGTTGTCCAGCCAGAAGCAGTTTCAGATTTTGTTTGATTAATGGTTTTCTGCTCGTTTCACAGTGTCCCCCCCCCCCCCGGTCGCCCGTTTCAACTTTCTACACATTTATCAAGTTTGCAAAGAAATAAAAGGCAACGCTTTTGGGCGTTCATTTTCGGTATTCTGATTTCTGAGGCTAATTATGTGGCTGTGCAGGTGAGTTGAGGAATCATGTGAGGAAGGAGAAAGGATTCGAGGCGGTGAGATAGAAAAGATGCAGACCACTCTGGCTTGAGGAATCGGTTATTGTCTTTTTCTCTGTCTTGTTCATATATAGTTTTCGCCTTTGAGTTTTCAGTGTGAAAGTAGGTTTGGTGTTATATAGCAGCAGAGAAAGCCGAGAGCTTGTAAGGAGAGAGAGAGAGAGAGAGAGAGAAGCAAAACGCCGGAATCCCAATGTCCTAATCAAATTATAAGTTCTGATCTTCATGGTTGTGTTGGATGTTCAGTTGCTGTGATATGAGTGGAGATGAGTAAGAAAGCAAAGAATCAAGTATATATCTATACTAAGTTTTGATAAAGCAATAAGTAAAGCCCTGCTTAATAAGATGGGGAAAATATGCGGATTGTCTGCTTCGTGTTTTTACCTGTTGAAAAAATATGAGACAAGAAGTAGATGTATTTGTTCCTTACTTTGTACAATGCGAATAATTAGATACGATTAGGTGGATCAGATGCCCTTTCGAATTATTCTTGAACCTGATAGCGTGGAAAAGATAAAAACATATGAAAGCCTCTCTCTCTCTCTCTCTCTCTCTACGCCTGCATATTTAAGGGTAAAAAGAGGGCCTCTCTCTCTACCTCAAAAGTATACTGAGAGTTATTCCACGTAGCAGATATTAAGGTGTGGTGTAGGCCAGTCAGTGTACGATGTTTTTAACGTTTGGTCTTTGTGTTGTCAATGTTGGGGAATGAGAATTGGTGCTTTTGGGTTCACGCGTGGAATGGGGAGCAGTCACGGGTGCGGTCTCTGAGTTTATTAGATTAGAAGCGACCTCTGGCATTGGCTTCGCTTCACTGCCTCGCCCTCCCCACTTTACTTTCTCTTTGGTCTTGTTGCCTCTAAAGAAGAAGGGTGTGGGTGTTAATTTGGGTCCTAAAAAGAGCAGCCAATCATACGAAATTACCTTATTTTTGGATTCTTCCCCAATAACACCTGAAAGACGCAGCTTCCCTTGTGTGGGTGTATTGGTAACGACTCCACTAACAGTATTAATATAGTGGCACTGCTCTCATCGGATTGCCATTTAATATTACAAAGTGTTAATAAATTAATCAAAATAAATCTTGTATTTTGGCACCCTGAATCTGGATAAATTAGACATTGAATCATCCATATATAAAATACTCTTCCGGTTTTAAATAGAAGATTTTTATCTTAAGTGTCTTATATTTAAAATCCGAAGAATATAAAAGTTTGGCAGGTATTAATAATTTGATTGATGAATGGTAGATATGATAAAAGAGCGATGGAAATGCAAGATGATGTTGACAGTTGTGGACGGGACCGGGTGAGTCTCAGTCTGAGCCTCCGGGGGTTTGCTTCGCATGTAAGGAAGGACGAAATTGGATGATGAAACGCAAATCGGAAAATTCCCGCAATTCCCAATTTTTAACTCCGCCATCAATAAGACGCGTCCGTATTTGATTATTGATCCCTCAATCAGACGTCACGCCCACACGTGGCACCCTCATGCTTTCCCATCCGACGACGTACCCGAGCGCCCGCGCCTTTTCCCGGGGCCTTCTTACCCGATTAAATATACATTTTTATTTTACCTTTAAAACCATTAGATTTAGTTCATGTTTTTATCAGAGTATTTATTGCTGGAAAAACATTAAAATATTTATATTGATGACACAGTACCAAGCTGAGTTGTACGGAGGATACCTGGTACCAGACTGAATGGAACGCAATTTTTACTCTACGGGCATTAAACTCGCGACCCGCCCCTTACGCTTCCCTCCCAAGATTAAAAAAAAAAAAACAGACCATCTATATTCTTTGCACTTCTTTAATTCCGCTGAGCCGAGATTCTTGTGACCGGAACAGAGTCAGAGAGTGATCATGGGAGGCGGAGGAGTGTTGAGGACCGCGGCGAAGGTGGCCGGAGTCGGCGTGGCCTCCTCCGGGCTAAGGGGCGTGCCCGTTGCCCCGCCTGCCGAGCAGTCGATTAGGAAAGCGTCGAGACCTGCGTCGGCGGTCTTGTCTTCCGAGGGAGCGAAATCTGCTGCCGCTGCGCCGCTGCACGCGGTGGAGTCCTGGGACTCGGATGAATGGGATTTCGCCCATGATGATGGACTCGTCATGGAGGCCGGCGAGCCTACGCCCCGGGTGGTGTTTGGCGAGGTCCCCAGCTTTCAGGAGGCCAAGGCTGCTGCCTCGGAATTGAAAAACGCCATTGATGAGTATATTGTTTTCCCCCTTATGGCTGAATAGCTTGATTTTTCATTTCAATTATTCGTCGATGATAAGTCTACAGGAAATTTTAAATTCGTCCGTTTCAAATTATTAAACGAGGATGATTGTAAATAATTTTTTTCTTTTAAGTTTGATGTCAAAATGGCAGATTCCTCGATGTTATTGTGCTTTATGTAGTTTCTAATCCCCGTTTCCCCCCTATTGCATTTTGTCCTTCTTTATAAATCAGGCATGTATCATTTGGAGGTGGCCGTTGCTGTTACTCTATGCAACACCTGTGAATGTTTTCAGCAGCCCCACTTTTACCTATCCCTTTAACCACCCCCTCCCCAACCCAAAAAAAAAAAGACAATTTTTTTTTCCAACACGTCAGCATAGATAAGTGCTAACAAATTTCTGGTGGGGTGTAAGGAATGCTGGTTGAAACTAACGAGATTTATTCTGAAACTAGTACTGGTAGAGATCATCATAAATATGATTTATCTTCTATCTGAGAGCACTTATGTTCATGCTAGGACCATATCTTATTTATCAATTGCCAGGGTATACCTGTCGTCCGATTCTTCTGTGTGCGAGGGTTCTACTGGTAGTGAAGTTTCTGTCCGATCCCCTGTTCTTTCTAGGACGGAGACCAAATCTTGTGTGGTCGAGGCTATTTCAACTCCTTCAATGCCGAAGCATGCCCTTCAGGCCTTTAAACTTCTGAGCACAAATTCTGAGGCCCAGGTAATTCATAACTTTCCTAATCCATTGGAGGTCTCTTTGTGCAGTGCTTAAAGAGCTTATTTAATACCATGGGAATTGGGATAATAATGAATGAAACGCCTCCTAAATTTATGGTCAAGTCTTGCTAATTCACTTGTTCTTTGGCTTGGCCAGAACCTTGTAGCTTCTGTTGCTTCTGATCCGAACGTATGGAGTGCAATCATGCAAAATCCTTCGTTGAAGGACTTCCTCCAATCCAACCAAACAGGTATTTAATATTTTACCGGGCCTGTCCCATGTCGTATCGCATACTAGTTGTTCTTCTATGAGGTGCTTGCACTGTGTATTTCATGTGGATACAAATTGTTCTGCAGCTACTGGGGTTGAGTCAGGGGAATCTCCTGAAATTTTGGAGAAGTTACACCACTCCGATCAAAAGGACAACCAAGGAAATGGGTTTTTGGATTTCATGGAGATAATGCAGAATTTTAAGGTGACAGTGACTGAAATGGTGAGCAATGTGTCAACATACTTCAACAACTTGTTTGGGTTATCAGAAGCGGAGAAAACGTCGTCTGGTGCTAATGGAAACACGAGAACAAGCTTCATGGATCCTTTCGCCATGGGAGGAACTCTTATGGGGTTGGCAGTACTGGTGATCATGGTGGTCCTGCTCAAGCGGGCTTAGACTCTATCTTCGTTAATTCGCCGATTCTTCTAATAAACTCTGATAGTATGATATGTTTCTTTCTTGTCTGTTTTTCCTTTTATCCAAGTGCATTTACAAGTTCTATATTCAACACAGTCTGTAAATGTATTTATTTCTTCTCGGGAAAACAGAATGGCATTTACAGACAAGCCCGAGATGTTGAGTCTGAAATGTGAAAGAATGAGCTTTGGCCTGGTTAAAAAGATATTCTAAAATTAAACTAATGAATATGCAGTCCTTGTATCTTCATCGTTTAAGTTGTGATGATATCAAATTCTCTAACAAGCTCTTGTAGATAGTATTTCCGTTAGTTGATGGGAGGGAAAATTTTAACAAGCTTGATTTAAAAAATTAAAAAAATGGGATTACAAAATTGTGATAAAAAGAAAATAAATTAACTTAGAGTTTTTAATCCCACTTCTCCAATTTAAAAAATTGAGTTTCCCCTTCTTTTTTCCCCCTCATATCAAACTCACCCTTAATATTCTCCAATATCACCTTAAATTGTAGCTAAAAGCAAAAACTTGGTTATTGGACTTGTGCAAGTTCGATAGCCGAAAAAGGATACAAAATTCTGGTTTAAAGAAGAAGAAGAAGAGGAGGATACGAAATAAATACTAAAGCAAAAAATATTTCTCAGCAAATTATTGCGAAACCCAGAGCTAAAGTACAAATTCTTTGTGTAATATGCAATGCTAAAATTCGTGGGCAGAAGTTCTTTCTCCCTTTACTGTAGCACTCTTGCTTCATCAACACTTTGGAAAATCCAGCCTCGGTCTGCTGTATTCATGTTAATCACTGCTAGCATACAGCCATACACGGTGCCTTCCTTTGATATTTGCATCAAACCTCTGTCTCTTCTGCCACTTGGTTAACCTCGCTACAGGGAGGAAGCTCAGAAAACAAAAACCCCCTCCCCCCCGGGGGGGGCTCAGCAGCAAGTTTTACACAGAATTTCTAGAACTAGGTGATTTCTTGAAAATGAAATCATCCAAATCTTCGACGGGTGCAGTGGGTAGATAAAGTCATGCAACCTTCGGTACTTAAGATAGTACAATAACTATTAATTTGAATAAATTAAAAAAATTAATTTAATTAGTTGTAAATAAAAAATAAGTATTGTTTTTTTAAAAATATTCTATTAAACATGTGTATTAATTAAAATTACATTTTATAAAACTTTTAATATGTATACCTATTATAAGTATTATCTTAAAAAATAAATAAATACAAAAGATAAAATATATTAAGATTTTATATTTAAAATTAAATTAAATATTAAACTAATTTTTATATTAAAGATTATTATAAAAAATTTGATAAATTCACGTAAATTTAAAGACAGCAAGAAATTGTCTTTTCTTGGGCGCAGAAGTGGAACGGGGATTGTCGCAGCCTCGCAGGAGGCTAGGGTGCATTAAATAATTCATATATAAAGGTTTTTTTAAAAAAATATATTTATGTAATATATTATATCATTTGCGCAGTAAGTAAAACGTTGCTAAAGAAATATGCGGACTGTCTGCTTCGTGTTACTAGCATTTCTGTGTTGAAAGAATACGAGACAAGGACAGGATGCTACTGTTGCTGACTATGTGCAATGTGAACAAATAATAAATGGATACGATTAAGCGAATGAGACGGCATTTCTGCATAAAAAGGTTAAAAAGAGAGCCTCTCTCTACCTCAAAAGCATAGAGACAAGGACAAGATGCCAGTGTACGATGATATTTTGTCAGAGCGGCTTTTGGGTTCGCTTCAGGCCAAAAAAAGAAAAACAGCATTGGCTTCACTTCACTTCACTTTACTACATTGCTTTGCTATCTATTTGATTTGGTTGCCGCTAAAGAAGAAGGATGTGGGGTCATGCAAATGAGGACGTGGGTTTGCTTCGCATGTAAGTAACTGAATTTAGCGTTATTTTCACTCAACAGTCAACAGGCAATATATTCGCGTCCCACCACTTTACGCTCGGCTTCGAAGATGAAAACCTCATGAGACCATATACTCTTCGCACTTCTTCAATATCACTAAGCCGAGATTTCTGTGACTGGAACAGCGTCAAGGAGTGATCATGGGAGGCGGAGAAGTTTTGACGGCCGCAGCGTTGATGGCCTGCTACGGGCTAAGTGGCGAGCCAGTTGCCCCGCCCGCCGAGGGAGCGAAATCCGCTGATGCTGCGCCGCTGCACACCGCGGCGTTCTGGGACTTGGATGAATGCGATTTCTTCCATGATGATGCACTCGTTACGGAGGCCGGCGAGCCCACGCCCAGGCTAGTGTTTGGCAAGGTACCCAGCCTTGAGGAGGCCGAGGCTGCTACCTTGGAATTGAAAAACGCCATTGATGGGTATATATATATTGTTTCGCCCTTATCTCTGAATATCTTGGTGTGGAAATGGCAACTTCCCTGGTTCGCCCTAAAGTTGCATTTCGGCCTTCTTAATAAATCAGGCATGTGTTACTTGAAGGTGCCCGTTGCAGTTACCTTGTGCTAGACCTGTGAATGTTTCCAGTAGTCCCAGTTTAAAAATCTGAGTAGTTTGTTCGGATAATGATAATAATATTCATGATGCTTCAAATATGAAATTTGTAGATGAAATTATTTTATTTCAGCACAGATAAGTGCTGACAAAATTTCTGGTAGGGTGTAATGATGTTAGTTAAAACTAATGAAATTTATTCTGAAACTAATGCTGGTGGAGATCATGTGTTCCTATGCAGCATAAATATTATTTATCTTCTAGCTGAGGGCACCTTTCTTCTTGCTGTAAGAGCATAACTTATTTATCAATTGTCAGGGTTTACCCGTCCTCTAGTTCTTCTGTGTGCGAGGGTTCTACTGGTAGTGAAGTCTCTGTTCAGTCCCCTCTTCTTCCTGGGACGGAGACCAAATCTCAGCTGATCGAGGCTATTTCAAATCCTTTGATGCCGAAGCATGTCAATCAGGCGTTCGGGGACTTGGATGAATGCGATTTTGACCATGATGATGCACTCGTTACGGAGGCCGGCGAGCCCACGCCCAGGCAAGTGTTTGGCTACGTACCCAGCTTTGAGGAGGCCAAGGCTGCTACCTTGGAATTAAAAAACGCCTTTGATGGGTATATATATATTGTTTCGCCCTTATCTCTGAATATCTTGGTTTTATATATCAATATTCGTGGATGATAAGTCTGTAGGCAATTTTAAATTCGTCTGCTCCAAATTATTTAATGCGGGTGATTGTAGATATTGTTTTCTTAGTTCCATAGTGTGAAAATGGCAACTTCCCCGGTTCACCCCTAAAGACTGCATTTCGGCCTTCTTAATAAATCAGGCATGTGTTACTTGAAGGTGCCCGTTGCAGTTACTTTGTGCTAGACCTGTGAATGTTTCCTGTAGTCCCCAGTTTAAAAATCTGAGTAGTTTGTTTGGATAATGATAATAATATTCATGATGCTTCAAATATGAAATTTGTAAATGAAAGTATTTTATTTCAGCACAGATATAATGTTGTTGGTTAAGACTAGTGAAATTTATTCTGAAACTAATGCTGGTGGAGATCATGTGTTCCTATGCAGCATAAATATTATTTATCTTCTAGCTGAGGGCACCTTTCTTCATGCTATAAGACCATAACTTATTTATCAATTGTCAGGGTTTACCCGTCCTCTGAGTCTTCTGTGTGCGAGGGTTCTACTGGTAGTGAAGTCCCTGTTCAGTCCCCTCTTCTTCCTGGGACGGAGACCAAATCTTGGCTGATCGAGGCTATTTCAAATCCTTTGATGCCGAAGCATCTAGTCCGTCAGGCCTGTGAACTGCTGAGCACAAATCAGAAGGCCCTGGTAATTCATAAGTTTTTCAACAAAATGGAGATCTCTTTGTGCCGTGCTTAAAACCATAAAATACCATGCAAAGCGGGATAATAATGAATGAAACGCCTTATAAATTTATGGTCAAGTCCTGCTATTCACTTATCTTTGGCTGAACCAGGACATTATAGCGTCTCTTGCTTCTAATCCGAACGTATTGGGGGCCATCGTGCAAGATCCTTTGGTGAAGAACTTCCTCCAATCCCACCAACCAGGTATTTAATAATTTACCAGTCATGCTCTCTTTCATGTCGCACATTAATTCCTCTTCTACAAGGTCTAGCACTGTGGATCTCATGTTGATAAAAATTGTTCTGCAGCTGCTAGGATTGAATCAGAGGAATCTCCTGAAACTTTGGAGAAGTTACACCACTCTGACCAAGAAGACAACAAACGAATTGGGTTTGTGGCTTCCATGAAGGAGAGAATGCAGAATTTTATGGGGGCAGCGACTGGAAAGGTAAGCAATGTGTCAAAGTACTTTACTAACCGCTTGTTTGGGTCATCAGAAGCGGAGAACACGTCGTCCGGTGCTAATGGAAACACGAGAGCAAACTTCATGTTTGGGTCAAAGTACTTTAACAACTTGTTTGGGTCATCAGAAGCAGAGAATATGTCGTCTGGTGCTAAGGGAAACACGAGAGCAAACGTCATGTTTGGGTCAAAGTACTTTAACAACTTGTTTGGGTCATCAGAAGCAGAGAATACGTCGTCTGGTGCAAATGGAAACACGGGAACAAAGTTCAAGTTTGGGTCAAAATACTTCAACAACTTGTTTGGGTCATCAGAAGTGGAGATAATTCTGAGGTTGGTAATGCTGGTGATTATGGTGGTCCTGTTCAAGCGGCTGTAAACTCTTACTATCGCCGACCCTTCTAATAAACTCTGATATGTTTCTTTCTTGCCTGTTTTTCCTTTTGCGCTAGTGCTTTTACAAGTTTTATATTCACAAATAATCTGTAAATGTATTTATTTCTCCTGAGAAAAACAGAAGGGCATTTACAGAGCAGCACAAGTTGTTGAATGTGAAACTTGTGACTTATGTCGAGGAGTGAGTTTTAACAAGACCCTTATCGTTTAAGTTGTGATGATATCGAGTTGTCTAACAAGCTCCTGCGCATGTTATTTCCGTTAGTTAAGACCCGGTTATATTCATGAAAAGATGTTTTAGTTTAATACAGACAAAAGGCGAGCGCCAGAAACTAAAAATGGCGATCTTTTCCTCTCTTTTTTCCCCACCACATGGAACGGATTGCACCCGCCGTGTCCGGGAGGCACATTCATGTAGTATTCTCCGTTCTCCTATATCACTGTAAATTGCAGCCAAAAGGAAAAACATGGTGGATTTGTATAAGTATGTTGTCCAGAAGAGGGTACAAATAATAAATATACATGATGTCTTCCTTTGATATATGCATCAAACCCCTGTCTCTTCTGCCACTTGGTTGACCTCGCTGGAACATCAGAGGGAGGAAGTTTTAAAAAAAAAACCCCCCGCCCCGGGGGAGGGGGGGGGGGCGCGCTCGTGGGCAAGTTTTACGGAGAATTTCTACAACTAGGTGATTTCTTGAAAATGAAATCATCCAAATCTTCGAGGAGCGCTGTGAGTAAATATAGTCATGCTACCTTCGGTACTTAAATATAATATAACAACTGATTAATTAATTTGAATAGATTAAAAAAATTAGTTAAATTAGTTGTTAATAATAAATAAGTATTGTTTTTCTAAAATACTTTTACTAATCATGTGTATTAACTAAAATCAATATTTTATAAAACTTTTAATATATGTATCTATTATAAGAACTATTTTAAAAAATAAATAAATATAAAAAATAAAATATATTAAAATTTATATTTAAAATTAAATAAAATATAAACTAGTTTTTATATTAAGAGTTATGATAAAAATTTGATAAATCCACAGAAATTTAAGGACAGCTCAGAAATTGTCTTCTCTTGGGCGCAGAATTGGATCAGGAATTTTCGGAGGAAGCTACTGTGCATTAAATAATTCATATATAAAGGTTTTTTTTATATATTTATGTAATATATTATATCATTTGCGCTGTTAGTAAAACCTTGCTTAAGAAGATGGGGGAAAATATGCGGACTGTCTGCTTCGTGTTATTTCTGTGCTGAAAGAATACGAGACAAGGACAAGATGCTACTGTTGCTAACTATGTGCAATGTGAACAAATAATAAATGGATAAGATTAAGCGAATGAGACGGCAGTTCTGCATAAAAAGGTTAAAAAGAGAGCCTCTCTCTTTTGTTTTGTCAATGTCGGGGCATGAGGATCGCGGCTTTTGGGTTCACGCGCGGGTATATTAGACTAGAAGCGACCACTAGCATTGGCTTCGCATGAGGCCAACAAAAAACATTGGTTTCACTTTACTTCACTTTACTACAAGGATGTTTGGAAATTAGAAGAAGTGTTTTTTAAAAACGTTTTTTTACAAATCGAGATAAACTCCTTCACGTATTTATTTTGTATACAGTAAAATTATTTTTAAAATCATAATTTGTTTTCCATCCAAACATTCCCCACGATTGCTTTACTGTCTCTTTGATTTGGTTGCCGCTAAAGAAGAAGGATGTAGGATGATGGAAGTAAGGACGTGGGTTTGCTTCGCATGTAAGTAACTGAATTCAGCGTTACTTTCACTCAACAGTCAACAGGCAATATATTCGCGTCCCACCACTTTACGCTCGGCTTCGAAGATAAAAGCCAGATGAGACCATATACTCTTTGCACTTCTTCAATATCACTAAGCCGAGATTCCTGTGACTGCAACAACGTCAAGGAGTGATCATGGGAGGCGGAGGACTTTTGATGACCGCAGCGATGATGGCCTACTACGGGCAACGTGGCGAGCCAGTTGCACCGCCCGCCGGGGGAGCGAAATCCGCTGATGCTGCGTCGCTGCACACGGCGGCGTTCCGGGACTCGGATGAATGCTATTTCGACCATGATGATGCACTCTTTACGGAGGCCGGCGAGCCCACGCCGAGGCTAGTGTTTGGCGAGGAACCCAGCTTTGAGGAGGCCAAGGCTGCTACCTTGGAATTGAAAAACGCCTTTGATGGGTATATATATATTGTTTCGGCCTTAGCTCTGAATATCTTGGTTTTATATTTCAATATTCGTGGATGATAAGTCTGTAGGCAATTTTAAATTCGTCTGCTTCAAATTATTTAATGCGGGTGATTGTAGATATTGTTTTCTTCGTTCCATAGTGTGGAAATGGCAACTTCCCCGGTTCGCCCATAAAGACTGCATTTCGGGCTTCTTAATAAATCAGGCATGTGTTACTTGAAGGTGCCTGTTGCAGTTACCTTGTGCTAGACCTGTGAATGTTTCTTGTAGTCCCAGTTTAAAAATCTGAGTAGTTTGTTCGGATAATAATAATAAAATTCATGATGCTTCAAATGTGAAATTTGTAGATGAAATTATTTTATTTCAGCACAGATAAGTGCTGACAAAATTTCTGGTAGGGTGTAATGATGTTAGTTAAAACTAATGAAATTTATTCTAAAACTAATGCTGGTGGAGATCATGTGTTCCTATGCAGCATAAATATTATTTATCTTCTAGCTGAGGGCACCTTTCTTCTTGCTGTAAGAGCATAACTTATTTATCAATTGTCAGGGTTTACCCGTCCTCTAATTCTTCTGTGTGCGAGGGTTCTACTCGTAGTGAAGTCTCTGTTCAGTCACCTCTTCTTCCTGGGACGGAGACCAAATCTCAGCTGATCGAGGCTATTTCAAATCCTTTGATGCCGAAGCATGTCAATCAGGCGTTCGGGGACTTGGATGAATGCGATTTTGACCGCGATGATGCACTCATTACGGAGGCCGGCGAGCCCACGCCCAGGCAAGTGTTTGGCTACGTACCCAGCTTTGAGGAGGCCAAGGCTGCTACCTTGGAATTGAAAAACGCCTTTGATGGGTATATATATTGTTTCGCCCTTATCTCTGAATATCTTGGTTTTATATTTCAATATTCGTGGATGATAAGTCTGTAGGCAATTTTAAATTCGTCTGCTTCAAATTATTTAATGCGGGTGATTGTAGATATTGTTTTCTTCGTTCCATAGTGTGAAAATGGCAACTTCCCCGGTTCGCCCCTAAAGACTGCATTTCGGCCTTCTTAATAAATCAGGCATGTGTTACTTGAAGTTTCCCGTTGCAGTTACTTTGTGCTAGACCTGTGAATGTTTCCTGTAGTCCCAGTTTAAAAATCTGAGTAGTTTGTTCGGATAATGATAATAACATTCATGATGCTTCAAATATGAAATTTGTAAATGAAATTATTTTATTTCAGCACATATATAATGATGTTGGTTAAAACTAAAGAAATTTATTCTGAAACTAATGCTGGTGGAGATCATGTGTTCCCATGCAGCATAAATATTATTTATCTTCTACCTGAGGGAACCTCTCTTCATGCTATAAGACCATAACTTATTTATCAATTGTCAGGGATTACCCGTCCTCTGAGTCTTCTGTGTGCGAGGGTTCTACTGGTAGTGAAGTCCCTGTTCAGTCCCCTCTTCTTCCTGGGACGGAGACCAAATCTCGGCTGATCGAGGCTATTTCAAATCGTTTGATGCAGAAGCATCTATTCCGTCAGGCCTGTGAACTTCTGAGCACAAATCCGAAGGCCCTGGTAATTCATAAGTTTTTCAACAAAATGGAGATCTCTTTGTGCAGTGCTTAAAACCACAAAATACCATGCAAGGCGGGATAATAATGAATGAAACGCCTTATAAATTTATGGTTAAGTCCTGCTATTCACTTATCTTTGGCTGAACCAGGACATTATAGCGTCTCTTGCTTCTAATCCGAACGTATTGGACGCCATCATGCAAGATCCTTTGGTGAAGGACTGCCTTCAATCTCACCAACCAGGTATTTAACAATTTACCGGTCATTCTCTCTTTCATGTCGCACATTAATTCCTCTTCTACAAGGTTTAGCACTGTGGATCTCATGTTGATAAAAATTGTTCTGCAGCTGCTAGGATTGAATCAGAGGAATCTCCTGAAACTTTGGAGAAGTTACACCACTCTGACCAAAAAGACAACAAACGAAGTGGGTTTGCGGCTTCCATGAAGGAGAGAGTGCAGAATTTTATGGGGGCAGCGACTGGAAAGGTAAGCAATGTGTCAAAGTACTTTACTAACCGCTTGTTTGGGTCATCAGAAGCGGAGAACACGTCGTCCAGTGCTAATGGAAACACGAGAGCAAACTTCATGTTTGGGTCAAAGTACTTTAACAACTTGTTTGGGTCATCAGAAGCAGAGAATACGTCGTCTGGTGCAAATGGAAACACGGGAACAAAGTGCGAGTTTGGGTCAAAATACTTCAACATACAAGTCATCGGAAGCGGAGATAATTCTGAGGTTGGTAATGCTGGTGATTATGTTGGTCCTGTTCAAGCGGGTGTAAAATCTTACTATCGCCGACCCTTCTAATAAACTCTGATATGTTTCTTTCTTGCTTGTTTTTCCTTTTGCGCACGCGCATTTTCAAGTTTTATATTCACAAATAATCTGTAAATGTATTTATTTATCCTGAGGAAAACAGAAGGGCGTTTACAGAGCAGCACAAGGTGTTGAATGTGAAACTTGTAACTTATGTCAAGGAATGAGTTTTAACCAGACCCTTATCGTCTAAGTTGTGATGATATCATGTTGTCTAACAAGCTCCTGCGCATGTTATTTCCGTTAGTTAAGACCCGGTTATATTCATGAAAGATGTTCTAGTTTAATACAAACAAAAGGCGAGTGCCAGAAACTAAAGATGGATTGATCTTTTCCTCTCTCTTTTCCCCACCACATGGAACGGTTTACATCCGTCGTGTCCGGGAGATTCATTCATTTAGTGTTCTCCATTCTCCAATATCACTGTAAATTGTAGCTGAAAGGAAAAACATGGTGGATTTGTACAAGTTTGTTGTCCAGAAGAGGATACAGGGGAAGAAAGACTTACTCTGATCTTGATTGCCATCACCCATGGCACCAAGTCTTCGCATGAGCTCAATAAATTCTCACGAACTCGTGGGAGTTCTTTGCATGGTGAATGGGAGAACAAGTCCACATATTCATATGCCCTCTTCCAAATGTTGTCTCGCTCATAACCCTGAACCTCTCAGGATCTGCAATACATATCATGCAAATTGCAATGTTGGATATGGTGGGAACACCAAACTTCCAAAATTTTGATAATTAGATTAATCTTTTGTTTCGCTCACACACGCCTTTGGAGGAAATTAAAACTTTCCAAGAAAGTACATGAAATAATATTATACTTGATATATAATTGAAAGGGCAAATCCCATTTTTAGTCATTCAACTTTGACCTTGTTTTGATCTTGATCTCTAATATTAAAAACTAGTAGTTTTGGCTCTTGAAATTTGCCATCATTTTGATTTTGATTTCTGAAATTTGAAATCAATGAATTTGATTTTTAAAATTTAACTTTGTTTTGATCCACCAAAAAAATTTTTATCCTGGAAAGTTGAAACAGTATTTTGGTCTTGAAACAAGTATTAAAAAAAAATTCTAAAGATCACGACCACTGCTTCAAATTTTAAGGGTTAAATCAAAATGAGATTAAGGGCTTGTTTGAAGTTCCGTCCAAAACGGATTTTTAAACAATGTCACATAAATCAAAATAAAACTCTTCTTATATATGTATATCGTATTTCACAAATCACGTTTGAAAAACTATTTATAAGTCAATCCAAACACACTATAAATATTAGGGAGTCACCAATTAGAAAGTCATTCTTCGAACCAACAACCCTTACAAACAGGGCAAAATTTTCCCAACAACCAAAGAATGGATACATCGTATATTGAATCACCCATATAGATAAATATAAAAGTTGGGTAAATATCAATTTGATAAATTAAAAGACTGATATGATAAAAGAGCGATGGATGTAAGATAATGGAAGAACGCGGGTTTGCTTCGCATGTAAGTAAGGACGAAATTGGATGATGGAACCCAAATCGGAATATTCCCGAGACTCCCAATTTTAAATCCCTCCCATGAGCAATACGCATTAGTAATTTGACTACTAGTATTGTGAGAGAATTACAATGAGATCCCAAACAATAAAAATAATTAAAAAATAAATCTCAGAGGTTATTATTCTCACTATAACACTTGTTATTATAGACTGTTGAAATTGTTATTGGGACCTTTTAATAATTATTTCTCTTATATAGGACTAGTTTGTAATTCCCCCTACTATTATTGATCCCCCACTTCGGACATCACGCACACGTGGCACCCTCATGCTTTCCCGTCGAACGACGCGCCTTTTCCCGCGGATAACTTTAAAGGGGAATTATTTCCAAACAACATATTTAATTATCTAAAAATTGGTTAAAAACTGAAGAGTTTGTAATAATAAATTATAGTATAAAAATAATAATTTAATTAAAAAAAGTATAAAAAATGACCACACATTTAAATTGATCGCTTCTCATTGAGATTTTTTTTATAATTAAATTTTTTTTATTAAGACCTTGTAATTATTAATTCCCCCTAACTTTAATTCATTTTTGAAACCATTCAATTTAGTTCATACTATTACTAACTTCTTCTTTTTTCTTTTTTTTTTGCCAACTAGTTCACTTCAATCAAACTATTTACATCGCTGAAAAAGATTAAAATATTTATATTGATATCTCTATATAATATAGTAATTACTAGTAATAATTATAAATTTTGGAATTTAAAAATTATACTAGCTGTTAATAATTACTACTCCTCCGGTCCTTAATATAGGACCCGATTATTAAATTGGTTTTGGTCCTAAATATAAGACACATTTCTTATATTTATCAATTTTCTCTAAATTACTCCTGTAGATACTCCCCCAACTATAATCAAGTAGAAGAGGGAGAAGGAGTATTAAGAAAGATGATTATGGTGTTTTAGAAAAAACATGTCACATTTCTTATAATTAACTAACTTACCTAACTTCCTTAATCTAATCAAATTAGTTAAATGGGTCTTATATTAAGGATCAGAAGAGTATTTATTTTCAAGTGTTTTTTAAGTTCATTATTCTTCTTATAAATGTGTTCTTATTTTCTTCAAAAAAATATATATATTTCACTTTAAGTTTAAACATTCATGTTTTTATAAAACATTAAAACTAGTGAAACTTATTCTGAAACCAATGCTGGTGGAGAGATCATGTGTTTCTATGCATCATAAACATGATTTATCTTCTATCTTATGGTACTTCTCTTCATGCTTAGACCATATCTATTTACCAATTCTCAAGGTATACTTGTCCGCTGATTCTTCTGTGTGCAATTAATTTGTGGCCATGCAACAATATATTTCAACATGTAGAATATATAATCTCCTTCTTTTCTTTACTCCAAAAATATATTTTAAAAAAAAGAGAGAATTATAATGAGGTCCCAAGGAAAAAAATGATTACCAAAAAGTCCGAATAACAACCTAAGCATCTTGTAATAACAAGTTTTAGAATAAAGAATGATAATTTATAAGACTTGTTTTGTAATTATTTTTCTTTTTTGAAACTTTATTATAATTCTCTCTGAAAAAATTTATCGATTAGACAAAAAGGTTGCCACAGAAGAAAAAAAATTAGGACATGTTGCCGCAAACATGAAGAGGAAACAGCAAAATTTCTCCTTCTATTTTTTTTTTTGAAAAAAATTAAGAGTTCTCCACATACAAAGACCGAACCTAACATTCTGGAGACCCATGAAACTTTTTGGGCCAATTCAGGCCCTTTAGAAAGTGGAACCCAATTAATTGGGCATCAACAATTCCTGGGCAGAAACATCCCAGGTTCCCCGTCCATTCCATGAAATTAAATTTTATTTTTTCAATAAAATAGTCTTGTTATTATAAGCAAATTATTATATTCCTGGATTGATCTTTTTGAATTATAAATTTTTAATTTATTTTTAAAAAATATTTTCCGTGCTTGATGTAAAAGGATACAAATTAGAAAAAAATTTCATTATTTAAACGAGAAACACATGATTATGATTAGCTCATTTAAAAGAACTTGACATGAATTGAAAAATAATACCGCATCTCATGTACATATTACAGCAAATATTATTTCCGAACGTATTGTAGCGTCTCTTGCTTCTAATCCGAACGTATTGGGGGCCATCATGCAAGATCCTTTGGTGAAGAACTTCCTCCAATCCCACCAACCAGGTATTTAATAATTTACCAGTCATGCTCTCTTTCATGTCGCACATTAATTCCTCTTCTACAAGGTCTAGCACTGTGGATCTCATGTTGATAAAAATTGTTCTGCAGCTGCTAGGATTGAATCAGAGGAATCTCCTGAAACTTTGGAGAAGTTACACCACTCTGACCAAAAAGACAACAAACGAAGTGGGTTTGCGGCTTCCATGAAGGAGAGAGTGCAGAATTTTATGGGGGCAGCGACTGGAAAGGTAAGCAATGTGTCAAAGTACTTTACTAACCGCTTGTTTGGGTCATCAGAAGCGGAGAACACGTCGTCCGGTGCTAATGGAAACACGAGAGCAAACTTCATGTTTGGGTCAAAGTACTTTAACAACTTGTTTGGGTCATCAGAAGCAGAGAATATGTCGTCTGGTGCTAAGGGAAACACGAGAGCAAACGTCATGTTTGGGTCAAAGTACTTTAACAACTTGTTTGGGTCATCAGAAGCAGAGAATACGTCGTCTGGTGCAAATGGAAACACGGGAACAAAGTTCAAGTTTGGGTCAAAATACTTCAACAACTTGTTTGGGTCATCAGAAGTGCAGATAATTCTGAGTTTGGTAATGCTGGTGATTATGGTGGTCCTGTTCAAGCGGGTGTAAACTCTTACTATCGCCGACCCTTCTAATAAACTCTGATATGTTTCTTTCTTGCCTGTTTTTCCTTTTGCGCTAGTGCTTTTACAAGTTTTATATTCACAAATAATCTGTAAATGTATTTATTTCTCCTGAGAAAAACAGAAGGGCATTTACAGAGCAGCACAAGTTGTTGAATGTGAAACTTGTAACTTATGTCGAGGAGTGAGTTTTAACTAGACCCTTATCGTTTAAGTTGTGATGATATCAAGTTGTCCAACAAGCTCCTGCGCATGTTATTTCCGTTGGTTAAGACCCGGTTATATTCATGAAAAGATGTTTTAGTTTAATACAGACAAAAGGCGAGCGCCAGAAACTAAAAATGGCGATCTTTTCGTCTCTTTTTTCCCCACCACATGGAACGGATTGCACCCGCCGTGTCCGGGAGGCACATTCATGTAGTATTCTCCGTTCTCCTATATCACTGTAAATTGCAGCCAAAAGGAAAAACATGGTGGATTTGTATAAGTATGTTGTCCAGAAGAGGGTACAAATAATAAATATACATGATTTCCTACTTTGATATAAACGTCGAACCTCTGTCGCTTGTGCCGCTTGCTTGCGTTCGGTCCGGTTGGCCTCGCTGGAACATCACAGGGAGGGGGGGAAAACTCGCGAACAAGTTTTAAAGAGAATTTCTGCAGCTAGGTGACTGCCGGTACTTGTTCACACATGGCACTTATCTTCTTCAACGCAAACGCCAAGTACAGGTAAGCTACTTCCCATTCATCTGGCGAGAGTTCGCCTGAAAATAAAAAAGGAACACAGCATTTCGTGTTATAAGAAGCACCATGTTAACAAAGATGAAAGTAACGAAAATGGATGTTCAGCTTCAACGAGTGATCGCGGTTAATGGAACTAAGAAAACGAAATGCATGGGCAACAGGGAAAGAAACACTTAATCTTAATGAGATTAAGATTATTGATTTTAAATTTCATGAACCAAAATCAAAATGAGATTAAATTTTAGGGAGTAATTAATTAGAAATTCATTCTTCGGACCATCAACCCTTACAGAGAAAGCAAAATTTTCCCAACAACCAAAGAATGGATACATTGTATATTGAATCACCCATATATATATATAGATAAATATAAAAGTTGGGTAAATATCAATTTGATAAATAAAAGACTGATATGATAAAAGAGCGATGGATGTAAGATAATGGAAGGACGCGGATTCGCTTCGCATGTAAGGAAGGACGAAATTGCATGATGAAGCCCAAATCGGAATATTCCCGAGACTCCCAATTTTAAATCCCTCCCATGAATGAGGCGCATTAGCAATTTGATTATTATTGATCCCCCACTGCGGACGTCACGCACACGTGGCACCCTCATGCTTTCCCATCCAACGACGCGCCTTTTCCCGCGGCTTCCCCGCATTCAATAACCGTGAGGGGAATTACTTCCAAGCAACATAATTTTAAAAAAAAAAAGTATAAAAAATGACAACACATTTAAATTGCTTACTTGTCATTGAGATTTTTCATAATTAAATTCTTTTATTAGGAGCTTATAATAATTAATTCTCCCTAACTTTAATTCACTTTTGAAACCATTCAAATTAGTTCATAGTTCATACTATTACTAACTTTTTTTTTCCTTAACTAGTTCACTTCAATCAAACCCCTTACATTGCTGAAAAAGATTAAAATATTTATATTGATATCTCTATATGATATAGCAATTACTAGTAATAATTGAAATTTAAAAATTATACTACCTCCGGTCCTTAATATAAGATCTTGTTTGGCTTTTATTTTGGTCATAAATATAAAACTCCAATCTACTTTGTCTCTCATATTTATGTATTTTTTTCAAGATAATCCTTTTAATAGTGGTAGTTCTAGCCAATACACTTGATTAGCAAGGATATTTTAGAAAAGACAACATCTATTTATTACAAATAACTAACTCAACTTATTTTCTTAATCTCCTTAAATTAATCAACTAGTTCTTATATTTAGGACAGGAGGTAGTACTGTTTATCTGCTGGTAATAATTACTATTTATTTTCAATTTTTTTAAGTTCATATTCTTCTTATAAATGTGTTCTTATTTTTTTAAAAAAAATTATATATTTCACTTTAAGTTTAAACATTAATGCTTTTATAAAACATTAAAACTAGTGAGACGTAAGGGGGTGTTTGGGAACTATAAGAAGTGTTTTTTAAAAGCACTTTTTTACAAATCGACATAAATTCCTCCATATATTTATTTCGTATATTGTAAAATTACTTTTGAAACTATGGTCTGATTTCTATCTAAACACCCTTTTATTCTAAAACTAATGTTGGTGGAGTGATCATGTGTTCCTATGCATCATAAGTATGATTTATCTTCATGCTTAGACTATATCTTATTTATCAATTGTCAGGATACACTTGTCCTCTGATTCTTCTGTGCGCAATTGTTCTACTGGGTTCAGTCCCTTCTTTCTGGGACGGTGACCCAAATCTTGTGTGATCGAGGATATTTCAATGCCGAAGTATGTCCTTCAGGACTTCAAATTTCTGAGCACAAATTCCGAGGCCTAGGTAATTCATAAGTTATCTAATCCATTGGAGTTCTCTTTATGCAGTGCTCAAAGAGCTTATTTAAAAAGTGCTTATAATACCATGGAAGGTGGGATAATAATGAATGAAATGCCTCATAGATTTACGGCCAAGTCCTGCTATTCACTTATCTTTGGCTTAACCAGACCGCCGTAGCGTCTGCTGCTTCTGATCCGAACGTATGGAATGCAATCATGCAAAACCCTTCGTTGAAGGACTTCCTCCAATCTCCCCAAACAGGTATTTCATGTCACATTTTAATTCCTCTTCTACAAGGTTCTTGCACTGTGGATTTCATATTGATACAAATTGTTCTGCAGTTGCTGGGGTTGAATCAGGGGAATCTCCTGAAATTTTGGAGAAGCTACACCGCTCCGACGAAAAGGACAGCCAGGGAAATGGGTTTGTGAATTTCATGGAGATAATGCAGAATTTTAAGGCGACAGTGGCCGAAATTGTAACCAGTGTGTCAGCATACTTTAACTTTTTTGGGTCATCTGAAGCGGAGAAGGCGTCGCCTGGTGCTAATAGAAGCATGAGAACAAACTTCATGGATCATTTTGCCATGGGAGGAAGTCTTATGGGATTGGTCATACTGTGATTATGGTGGTCCTGCTCAAGCGGGCTTAAACTCTTGCCATCATTAATTCGCGGAGCCTTCTAATAAACTTTTATATATATTTCTTTCTTGTCTGTTTTTCCTCTTGCCTAAGTGCATTTACAAGTTCTATATTGAACAAATAATCTGTAAATATATTTATTTCTTCTTAGGAAAACAGAAAGGGCATTTACAGACGAGCACAAGACGTTGAATATGAAATTTGTGAACTTATGTCAAGTAATGAGTTTTGGCCAGGTCACAAGTAGGTGGATTTGTACAAGTTCGTTATCCAGAAGGGGGTACAAAATAAATACCAAAGCAAAAAATATTTCTCAGCAAATTATTGCGAACCTAGAAGTACAAAATTCTGCGTACTATGCAATGCTCAAATTACGTGAGCAATTCCTTTCCCTCTGCCGCAACACGCCTTGTTTCATCATCGATTTGGAAAATCTAGCCACCGGCTACTTTATTCATGTCAATCATTGCTAATATACATGATGTCTTCCTTTGATATATGCATCAAACCTCTGTCTCTTCTGCCACTGGCTTGTGTTCGGTCAGGTTGGCCTCGCTGGAACATCACGGGGAGGAAATTAAAAAAAAAAAAGTGAACAATTTTAAAGAGAAATTTCTGGAACTAGGTGACTGTTGGTATTTGTTTAAACATGGCACTTACCTTCTTCAACACAAACGCCAAGTATAAGTAAGCTACTTCCCATTCATCTGGCGAGAGTGTGCCTGAAAATAGAAGAGGAATATGGCATTTCGTGTTATAAGCAGCAGCGTGTTAACAAAGATGAAAGTACTAAGAATGGATGTTCAGCTTCAACGAGTGATCATGGCTCATGGGACTGAGAAAACTAAATGCATGAGCAAAAGGCCAAGAAAGACTTACTCTGATCTTGGTTGCCATCACCCAAGGCACCAAGTCTTCGCATGAGCTCAATAAATTCCGGTTTTCTCATGTACTCATGCACGAACTCATGGGAGTTCTTTGCAAAGACAAGCTCAAAATCGTACTGTAAAGTGTGAAGGATAATGTCAACCTTGCCTAATCTATTGCTTGGAGGGAAATATAAAGAATGAGTGTAACCGACTCTTTTGAAATATGTGATACCTCTTCAGCCAATGTCTTAAATACATGGAAGGGGACAATCCATTCAGGACAATCAACAGCATCCTGCAACAGAAGTTGCATGGTAAGCGACAGAAGTGTAAATAGCATTCCTGAGTCACATCTATGACCTAACAAATAGTCTGATGTTAAAATACTAATAAGCTTTTTTTCATGGAAACAAGTCAACAACCACTGGAACAATACCTCTAGATGGAACTTGTACTTTATGCCAAAGGGGCTGGAAGATTTAAATTTCTGAATAACGAAGAGAATATCAGGTTAAGATACTGTTCTATAAATTGCATGAAATTCATTAGTAAGATAATGAATTTCCACCCAAAAAAAATAATTAGGAAGATGTAACATGAAGAGAACAGGTTCACCTTGTCAGAAAATTCTTCATCAAAATGCACCCAGTAGACGCTATTTCCAAAAGACAACCCTTCAGCTGCATATTTAATAAAATGAAAACAGCATCTCCAATCAACTTCAAGAATTGCAAAAGTAATGACATTATGCTAATGTACCAGAAGGACCAAAATGTCATTATTCTGTTCAAGGAGAACAATGAGTAATCATATCTAGTGGGAACAAGAACAGTTCGTGACAATTTTGAGTATAAAGTCATACAGCCTTCACACACACTGAACACTGAAGACTAAATCAATGCAATACATGATACCTGAGGATTCACTTCAGAACGAGAAATCATGGAAAGACAGCAAAAGCACCATTAGTAGTATAAGATTATTTCTTCTCATTCAGACACATGCAACATGCTATAGTTTCATCAGACTCATCACACTTGAATGTGTGGTTTAGCTCATCAAAATTCGTCTTTTAGTAAACTAGAGATAGATTGCAAACAGAGATCAGATCCTTGCATATGCTTAT